CTTTCCCTGCGATTTCTTTCGCTGCAACCCGCTGCGAGTCTTACAATTTTTCTCCTAAGATGGCAGGATTAATATTAAAAAATCACCTTGGTATCGAGCATGTTACAGAGTAATGAACGTGGGAAGGATCGTTTTCGTAAACAGGGTTCCAGAGATCCATGGGTAACGTTCCTACGGTCGCAGCTACGGGTATCGTTGACCGCGCTTCCGGTATTCCTCGTAGGCGCGTCCATCCGTGCTGCGACCCTTCCGGTGACACCGGGCCGGCCTTTTTGCCAACTGGAACGTGAACGTTCTCCGACAGGATATGCATCGCGGAACAGAGACATCGATGACAAACGCGACGGATTTCGCGCCCGGCAAGTTCCTTTCCCGCGGAACGTTGCACTCCGAGATCTCGGATTCCGCGCCCAGAAGAAATCCGTCGATTCGAGGCACTATGAGTGACGAACGGTTTTTAAACATTTGTTATCATCCGTGCTTAATCGAGCTGATGATTCGAGGGAAGTATCGATGAAGTTTGGGTGCATTGGATCGATGAAGGAACCTCGATGCAGTTCCTTCGGTAAAGAATCGACTTATCGTTTTTAACCTCTTGTTATCATCCGTTTTTAAGAGAGCTCATGAGTTTAGGGAAGTATCCCGATGCAGTTCCTTCGGTAGAGAATCGATTTCTTGCTTTTAATCACTTGTTATCATGTATGGTTAATCGAGCTCATGAGTTTAGGGAAGTATCCCGATGCAGTTCCTTCGGTAGAGAATCGACTTATCGCGAACTGTCCCTTGTTCGGTCGTGGCTGGTTCCCACCCCGCGGGCGGATTTTTCCTCTCGGTCGCGGAATCCGCTCGCCACTCGTTAGCGTTCCGGCTGCGGCCCGATTAAGCGCAATTCTTGGCGCAATCCTTGGCGCAATCCTTGGCGCAACCCGCGCCAGCTCCTACACGGATCTCGCGGGGAATTATTTATCCCCTGTCCTCTCGGCGTTAGCACTTATGCGCGAGTACACGCTAGCGAGCGAAGCAACGCGTATAATGCCCGAGAGATTTATCGCGTTGCTCGGCAGCCCTCTGGCCGTCGATCGAGAGAGAAGTATAGGCGAGCTCCGTGAAATCCGCCCCGTTCGCCGAGCCCGATTTGGCCGGTTTCCTCAGGAATTCGAGCAACGCCCGCGATCCTTGGATAAATTAACGTCGCCGTCCTTAGGGACTCTTGCGGACTCCCGGGAGCAAGAGCTCGGATCGGGAGGAAGGGTCCCGTGAGAATATCCCCCGGGTATCGGTCGCGTCTTGGCCATCGTTAAGGTGGGATGAAATCACCGCCTAAGAGGTCTCATTTAAGAAACTTTTCTCCGAATCGTTTGGTACTTCATGTATATGGCGCTACGTAGGTCCTGGAACTCATGAAATTTCATCATTTTAACTTTTTCAACAATTTTAAATATTTTTAAAAGTTTCATGAACAATTGAGTCCTGAGACGGTACTTTTAGGTCGCCTTAATGAATCCAGATCTTTGAAGAATTTTAAATATTTTCTACAGAAAATGAAACTTCACGGGTGTAAAGATCTTCCTCAGGGCCTTTGTTTTCTCGCGGTGAATTTTTATAGGAATTTTCATCTCCAGTTTGTGGAATAGTTTCATGAAAGATTGAGTCCTGAGACGGCAGTTTTAGGTCGCCGTAATGAATCTAGATCGGTTCGGGAAGAATCTGGACATTGATCGTGTATATAGAGGATCATTTGTTATATGTCCCTTGGAGAGAGCGCTTTTGGGGTGCATTGTTATACGCGCCTCGAAGAGGACGCTTTTGGGGTGCACCGTCGGGTCGACTTTTAAAAGAGTCGAAAATTCGCAAAGGAGCCACTCGGTGGCGGATTCCCCGGGATTTATCCGTCGAGATCTTAGCACGGTTCTCGGCTAGCCTATTAATTACCCTTGCTCGAAGGGGCCGGGGTGGTTTTCCGGAGTCCGGTGGGGTTGGACGGGGTAAAAGGCACTTAGAGTAAGAGTGTATAAAGCAGGCGCACCCTCTGCCGCAGTCGAACGAACAACAGACGGGTGGCCAGGGTCGGGAGTGGGGAATATTTAAAAAGTAATATCAATTACATTTGCATATTCACCACCACCTCTGCGCCCCTAGTTTCGTATACGTAGAGGGGATGGTTCACCCAGGGCCGTGCACGGCGACGCCCGACGTCGGCCCGTTCGCCTAAATGGCTGTTCGATTAATCTAGACCTTAAATAAATCCCGACCTTCTCCGAAATAACCTCGAATTTCCGGAAGTCGACGTCGATCTTTATTCCTTCAAGAAGAGACCCGAAAAAAAAAAATGCCGATCGATGGGTGAAAACCATAGTCTCGCCGTGACAATTGAAATGGCAATTAAAAAATTCTTTAAATCAAGAAAATATTTCTCTAAATCCGTGAGACGTTTTTTTTTTTTCTCCCACAGCGTAGCTATTTGGCCCATCCTCGGAGGTTTTCTCCGTTGACTTATTTATATATCTCCACTTCCAGGGATTTATGCAATGGATGCGTGACGCAATATTCGGAGAGACGCTAGGTAATACGGTAACGCTTCTTATCCCCCCTAAAAAGGGGTCCTCCGGTTCTCAGACTCGAAACTCTTAACGCACCTCCCAGAAGAGGATCTCGGCATTGTCGCACCCGCGATTGTTACTCCTCGGACGCGTTAACATAACAATACGAGCGAATGCGACCGCGGCTTTCGGCAGCTTTTACTCCTCGCCAGGGCGACGCCACCAAGAGGCGCGTCTGCATCGACTCCCGGAATTTTCACCAAATTTTACGCCCTCCCCATCGACTTTCTACCCCGGTTTCCAAGCTGAGTTTGGGATTCTAGAGTGCCTCCATACACGACGCGTTACGTTCATTGAAATTTCGAGATCCTGCAGGAAAGGGAGGGTAGTTCTTGTAGGGACCGAAAGAAAATACTTTTCCAGTCGAATTCTAGCCCTTTTGAGCATGCCTAACCCACGTAAGACCTCTTCTGGCCCTGTTTTACATTTTCATGTCCTGCTTTCAACATTTCACGTGCTCCTTTATTCGAATTACGTCCTACACTGTTAAAAAGAAATATCATAATTTTATAACATTTCTCCTCGATGTTTCAGTCAGACGCGGTTAACTAATTTTATAACGTATTTTCAAATAAAATCTGACATATTCTTTGAAAATAAACATACGTAAACGATCCTAAAATTAAAAACTCACCTAAAGGATGTTCAAACGATGCGTACTAAATGACTGTCGAATATAAAATTTATAATTTTCCTTCGCAATTTCATAAAATTACAACGGGGTGTTATAAAATTATGAATTTAGTTAGAATTTTATAACAAATGCATACTAATTCACTGTTAAGACTTCAAATTTATGATTTTACTGCAAACTTATGTACTAAAAGTGAATGCATTTTTTTTTAAAGTGCGCTTCAGGTCTGAAAGTAGAAGGAATGGAAATTTCCGCCCGTTTTAAGGTCTAAAGTAGGACCTCGAACTTATATGGTAGAACAATTAGTAGCCCTAGTGGAATAAAAATGTCGTCTCGGATTTAAAACGCTACGCGTCGATGATAAGAAATTCGCTCGACGAAAGCGACGTCTTATCACGGGTGCGGCAATCAGACCACGTCTTGGGGGGAAGAAACGGCGAGAAAAGAAGAGAGAACGATTTCACGGACCGAACGATGTACCGTAACGAGGGTACATCCTTGTGGTATCGTTATCGGTTATCGTTCCTTCGACGATAAGCTCGGCCACCGTAAACGGAGGGCGTAGAGAGGAACGACGCGGGAAGGCACCGGAGGATCGAAACGAGAAGTCAGGGCAGTCAGCGTGGCTAATTGCTCGAATCATTAAGAAAAAACATGGAATCTAATCTACCCTTCCCCCTGCCCGATTCTGGCACGCCGCCGACTGCAGTGGGAAGTTACTGATAAGAATCGCGCCTCGCGGTAATGAAAATAATCACGGCGCGGCGTAATAACGACTCGAGTTGGGCTACCAGAAACCATCCAGAGAGCCTTTTCGATGGTTAATCCCTCTAAACCTGGTTTTAGTTCCATAAGCGTATCCTTATCGATATTTAGCGACTGATAAGAATCGCGTCCCGCGGTAATGAAAATAATCACGGCGCGGCGTGATAACGACTCGAGTTGGGCCACCAGAAACCATCCAGAGAGCCTTTTCGATGGTTAATCCCTCTAAACCTGGTTTTAGTTCCATAAGCGTATCCTTATCGATATTTAACGACTGATAAGGATCGCGCATCGCGGTAATGAAAATAATCACGGCGCGGCGTAATAAGGCGTAATAACGACTCGAGTTGGGCCACCAGAAACCATCCAGAGAGCCTTTTCGATGGTTAATCCCTCTAAACCTGGTTTTAGTTCCATGACCTTATCCTTATCACTGGCAAACGTGTCATCCGTATCGTCGCACTTCTTTTCCGACCCAATGCCCAGCGCAACCTTCGGTTGTTTCGGTTGGTACTTGGATATTCAATAGTTACTAATCGAGCATGACCGTTGTATTTACGTGGAAGGATTTTTTTCAAGTCATAGATTTGCAGTTAAAACGGCGGTCTGAATTATCGCGGACCCCAGGATAACGTGTCGTGTCCATGTCTCGTCGATTATCACGAACCGCGGGGATTGTAATTATTGCAAGGAAGGATTTCTCATGTCTGTTCTAAGATAAGCTACGGAAGTACGGTTCGTACGCGGATTGTGCACGCCTCGAGGGACTTGCGGAAATTAGTGCCACGGGTGTAATTGAAATTTGAGGACGATTCTCCTTTTACATTCCCGACTTGTCGAGGTAATGGTGAACGGAGCTAAAGACTTCTTCGAACCTGAGAAGCATTTATTAGAACGGTACCAATGGACTATCCCGATAGTCCAAAGGATAATTCTCTGAAACAAACTCGAGTAAATTGGACCCAAGGTTTCCTCGTAATTATGGGAATTTAAGTAATTAGGAGCTGGAATCGAAGAAATATTTTTCTTTCGGCTCGATGAATTCTTTCCCATGGCACGATATTGACTGGTACCGTTTAAAGAGCAATTGGCTGAGGCTTTTTCGAGAGAGTAAGACGAGTACCGAGGTTTTCAAGCGGTACGTCTCGCGCAATGAAACCACGAGGTCGGAGTAACGACATCGCGGTAGAACGAAACGAGTTATTTATTAAGTCGTTGTTACAGCCGCAACTAACGACGCAGCCGGTCCAAATGATGTCGGTTTGCCTGCAGGTTCAGGTGGCCCGACTCGGCCGTGTACACAGGGGTGCATACATTATTTTTGTCGCCCCTTCTCATAGAGCACCCACACCGTGAAGACAGGTGTTGCACCGCCGAGTCTCTTGGTCTCCCCTCCGCACCTTCCCTCAAAATTTATCGTTCATGGAAATTTATTTACCGCGCCACTCCGCCATGTGTTGACGGCCGACTGTGGTCGAAACCGAAAAACGCCGACTTTTACCATCCCCGAGTTCCGAATAAGAAACGCCCGAAAAGCAACCATCAACCCATCTCCATTACACCTCCAAAGGCCACCTATTTCTCTAAAGTGGGAATAAAAAAATGATTAATCGCAAAAACTTCAATCGGGACACCAGCACATACATTGCCAACGCTCGAAGGAGTTTTCCGTCGCCATGAACAAGGTCTTGAATGGTCCAAAAGTAGTGGGAAGACGAGATGCATCTTCCCGCAACTAGAGGCGTCGGTGACCGTCGAAGGCGACTCATCGGCCCGATATGGCGGCCATTTTGAGTATTCCGGTCATAAAGTCGATGCAAGTTGTGCTGGGCGACGGAAGGCGACAATCGACGACGGTCGTACCTCTTCGGTCGAAGAAACGCGCCCACGACGGTCATTTGTATTCCGAAGTTCTCCAGCGAGGCCTTCGACGTGTCTTGGAGGCCGCGCGTTGGGTCGCCGCCATTTTGTTTTGCCCACGGGGCGCCACCTAGGCCTTCGCTCTGGAACTTGTCCCTGCTTCCACGCGACGGTTCGTTTCGTCCACTTATCTCGTCCGTATCCAGCTCGACATCCGGCGGAACACGGTTCGCTCCCATTCGAAGCCATTGTTGACATTCGTCAACCCCTAAGAGCATCACTGGTCGCGTCTCATCCTCTGGGACAACTTCTCCTGGAAACCACCACGTCCCGACCCCCCCGGTCGCGGCACAAGGTTCTCGCTTCGCACTCACGTCCTCTTCAAGGGAGGTGGATGCCAGGTCGACGTCGACCCAGCACGACCAGAAGGCGTCGCCCGCGTGATGCCGTTGTACCGTTCACATGCCAGTCTCACTTTGCTCATCCTAATTGGCTTTGTTTTCGGATAGCCACGTGGCAAGTGCGGCTGGGGTCCTTTCCGAGCGAGGTCGAGGTGGGTCCCGGGTTCCTGGAGGCCCAGGAGGTCCAGGACGCGGCACGGGTACGCGGGTCGGCACCGGGACGCTTTTAGGATAGGACCCCGATCCGTGGTGGAGGGTCGCGAGGTTCGGCCGAAGGCAGGGAAGGTCTGCCGGGGAAGTAAGGTAAGGCGGTCGACCGGGGGTTCCTGGCCGACAGGGAGAGGAATACGAACTAAGGGGTTCTATATCCATCCGACGGAGCAGAGCTGAGTCGAGCGTAGCGTAGGAGAGCAGAGCAAGGAACACTGCCGCCACCCCGGGTAGGGGTAGCCGACGTCCGTCCCGAGTCTTTCCTCATCTGCAAGTCGTATAACCGAGCTAATTATCAAGTTAATATGGCCATTCTGTATGGAGCACCGAGCGCGAGTGGGTGGAAGCGAGATGGCCCCAGGCCTCTATCCTGGAGGTGGGAGCGAGAGGAGCGGAGTACATTGATATTATAAGTTGCTTCAATCGCTGTATTCATTTGTAAACTAACCAGGCTAAATGTATTCACCACCGCGAGGCGGCGCGCCGATAGGCGGAGCCACGCTCCCGGGGCGCCCTTCCTTCCTTCCTTCCTTCCTACGTTCCGCGTTCCTACGTTCCGCGACTTCCTTCTCCCTCGGACGCCGGGACCACCGGGACGCCAGGGTCCTCGTTCCTTGAAACAGATCCCTCTTTTTCGAGTACGAACCGTCGACGACGGTTGCACCACGTCGGCTCTCAGGACTCAGAATTTTCATCGAAATTTCAGTCTGCAAGGCTTAAGGGGGGGTGAAAGCGGCATCCGAAAGCTCAATTGTTCATAAAGCTTTTCTACGAACTGGGTGTCTCAAATCGTTTCATACTTTAAGACGTGAATATTGAATCCTCAAGGTAGGGCCTGGAACTCGCGAAATTTCATTTTTTATATACTATTTTTTAAATACCTATAAAGAAATTTGAAAAAAATAGAAATTCCGTCGGTGTCAGGACCTTCCTTATAGTCTCCCTATTTACGTTGTAAAGTTTCAAACTATTCGGTAAACCGAATTGAGAGAAAAGTTTTATGAACAAAACCTCTTCGACGCCACTTTCACATCACACTAAGGTGATTTGAAAACGGGATGTATACATACCAAGAAGTCTTTTCTCCAAACTGGGCACGTCAAATTATCTCAAACTTTTACACGTGATTATGGAGGCCCTAAGAGAGAACGTGCTGCCGTGAAATTTCATTTTTCAAAAATTCTTTTTTCATCTTTAGCCTAGGCTAGAACCAAAATCGCACTTTTTGTGAAAAATGAAATTTCACGAGCGCGTTCTTCTTTAGGGCCTCCATAATCACGTGTTAAAGTTTCATATGATTGTATGCATCCAGTTTGGAGAAAAGTTTAATAAACGAGACTTTCACCATCACCTTAAGGCGGAGCGAAAGTGGAGTCAAAGAGTCGTTCGTAACACTTTTCTCCGACCGTAGCGCAGCGAATTGTTTCGAATTTTATGACGTGAATATGGAGGCTATGAGGAAGGTCCTGACACCCATGAAATTTCGATTTTTAAACATTTTCGAGATGGATTCACCATCTATGGTAAATACCAGTATCCAGTTCAGAGGGAAGCTTCGATTGACAGATGCCGCTTTTACGTCCCCTTAACCCCTTTCGCTACAATGACGAGTTAGAGTCATTCAGCTAGAATGGTTCGAAAATTGAATCCAAGCGCAAGGGGTTAACGCCTGGATTAATGATGTTGATGATTTATGTCTAAAATTAGGGGGACGGTTCTTCAGCGACGTTCGGAAACGACGCGCAATCTTCTACGAGGACATCTTTCGGGTCCCGGTGACGAAAGCGTTCTCGCGATTCGAGTCGTCGTTGCGTCTGGTGTATTCGGCTCTTTTTTCCCGGGGTGCATTATCATTCCAACTTTGCCTTCTTCCTCTTCTCCTCGGTGCAGCAGGGCGTCCCTCTTTCGCCATCCACCGTCTTGGCGAGGTTTCCTCCTCGGATGCAGCAGGCACCCCGCGCGGACGACTTCTTATCCGAGAGTGGAGGACCGCGGAAATATGAATGCATAAATGCATAAGTGCAAACCCCCCTCGGTGCGGGGTGGGTTTCTGGCGTACCCCTTTGTCGCCGTTCCTGCATTTCTTTCCCCTTGCTCCGAGGAATGCCTCGCCGTCTGCGGATTTCTTTCGACAAACTTTCGCAAGCCCGAAATCCCTTTCATATTCGGTAATAATTCCCCGGTTAAATTTCTCTCGTCAGGGTCGGCATTTATTTCCCCCCTTCTAAGTCTCGGTTCGCCCAATCCGCTTCATGATCAATGACGATCGGGACGACACTCTTCGATCTGACATTGGATACACTTTTGGTGGGACCCAAAAGGGGTAGTAGGGTTGATCAAGTTGTAGAAAATCGAAAGGACCCGTGGTTGAGTCTCTCGTTCCTCGTTCCGTTCTCCACGTCTGCAGATCGGTTCCTGGACTTTTCAGGAGTCCGGTTGGCTCGATCCCTTCTGGTACCGGAATGGATTCCTTTCTCTTCCCGATCGTAGGAGGTCTCCGGAGTCCTCTTCTTCCTTTTCTTCCTTTGCGAGGCAGACTCTGTACCGCCGAGCCGTGGAGGCGCGGAGACACGGATCTTCGCCGGGGCAAAAAGCTGCAGCAAGCCTGGGACAGCAATGCCGCGGGATTAAAAGGATGAATTAGCATAATGCAAGTGGGTGCAAGGGAGCCACGTGGCGAGAGAGGGAGCCGGACTCTTTCGGAATCTGGCGAGCCATTACGAGACATCTCCTGCTCCACAAAATGGAGGAAATTCCAAGGACTCGTCGCCAACGAAGCCTAATCCACCCTAAGACCCCCTCTATTTTACGAATTCCCGGCGAACCCACCCTGAGATACTCGATGCACGTTATCCACTCTGAGAGGAAAAGCTCAATGAACGGGGAAAATGATGTCGTTCGTTCGGAAAATAATTATTCTACTTTCCTCTCTACTGCCAATCTGAAAAGTCGACGGTCGACTCCTCGAATGATTTCGTCGACCGTTTTAATAACCGGAAGAACCTCGTTACCGCGTCACGAGGTCGTCCAATAAGCCGTCGTTCGGTCCAGGTTGGGATATCATGGCATATTCACTTTGCCCAGCTTCTCTTCCAAGGGTGTTTCCCCCGCGAGGGAAGCTCGAGGTCGTAGGTCGAAGGTGGGGCGCGAAGGTAGGTAAGAGATAGCGAATCGCACCTTCGCTCATGCATGATTCAGTCGCGGTATCTCATTTCATCTCGAGGCCACCTCTTCTGGGCTAAACTATATCTCCTAATGGTAATGCCATTCCGCGCGGCACATATCTCTTTATATTACGTGGGCCGGTGGTTAAGGGTCCAGAGTGAGGCCAGGAAAAGCTATCCGGAGGATAGACCCCGGTTCTCCAGGTGTCGAGAGGAGGACCTGGAAGAAGGTGCCGAAGAGGGCGGAGGTTCCTTCCAGGACTCGGCTCCTAGCCACCCCGTAGTTTAGGGAGAACGAGTACCTTTTGTGCCGGGGGCAACTACCCTTGTATATAAATCCCGCATGTACTCGGGTATATACTCGCGTATACGCGCATCCCTTTCCTCCGGAGCTACCACTAACTGCGAGGAAGATCGTGTGGGTGCGCGAGGAAACACTCGCCTCTGTGTGTGTCTCTCTCTCCGAAGGGAGCTCCGCCGAAGCCCGAGGGGTGGAAAGAAATAAAGAAAGAAATTGTTAGTTCTCGCTGTTTTAAATTACCATTTATTACGACACATAAACCCGAGCCCGGGTCCGGGAAGTCCTACCAGCGGCCATCTTGTCCCGCCACCCCCGCAAGGAGGCTCCGTGCAGAATACCGGGGTAGCTATATCATCCTCCGCTTCTCCTTCTTCCCGGCGTTTCCGCGGCGTTTTCTCGCCCCTTCTTTCCTCCCTGGTATCGGTGGACGTTGCCAAAGGCGACCGACGTTCCCAGCCCCGCGGTAACGATCATTATGTCCGGCATGACGAGTGTGCACCTCTCCCCCGAGAAATGCCCGGGACATCTTTACGCCATGACGAATGGCCCGCCCTTTATTCCGCTTCCAGTCGGAAATCTCGGCAAACAAAGGCGGCACTTATTAATTTAACCATCACACTTTTCCTGAAACTTTACTCGAACGCCTCAATGGCAGTCCGAAGATCGCTGGCAGGGGTTTTTATTGTGTCGGAGGCATCTTATCCGCCCAGGGACTTATGGACCACTGATGGATCCGCCATAATTGCGCTTTTTCCAGGGGAGCGATGATCGTTCTTGAAACTATTCCTCGTTCGAGACTGTTTCATCTCCACTTCGGATATAGCTGGTCGAGGGGCCAGCCAGGAGCGTTTCAAATTCCCTTCCGGAAACCGGAACCACCCTCGACCCTGTCTCTTCTGTAAAGCACCGATCGTAAAGATCTCAAAAATAGCCAAGTCCGTTGGTATCCGAGGCGGGCCAGAGGCACCGGGGCAATAGAAGCGGCCAGTCTTTCATATCGTATCGGGGCGAGCTCGTCTATGTGGAAATGCGATCACTTAGAACCGGCCTCGAAGTATAATTCCCCGTCCTCGGGAGCGGAGCCCGGAGTCGGTGTGCGCGCCCGGACGGATCGTATATTTTTTATTATTGGCCAGAGAGCCGGACCTAGGGCTTCGAGACGCCAAGGGGAGGATCTTCGATAGCTGACCACTCGACCGACCTCTCCTTCCCGGTCCAGAGAGGAGCTCTCGGTGTTGGTGCCCTAAGCGTCACGCCGGACGGTATATCTTGCGGGGGTCGTTTTATTGAGTGTGGACGGCAGAAGCGATCCTCATGTTTTTACATGGAGGCAAGTTTTCCATCTCGCCCCGTTGGGCGGCAGAAAGCGGCTTCCACCTTGGAGAGGCCGCCGGTTTCCATGGAGGGTCCTGTAGGGACGTTGGTCCCCTAGGGTCGGGGTCTTTAGGGGAGGCTGGGGGTGTTTCGGAGGGACGCCTCATCGGGATGTGGGATAAAGTTCCGGTAACGGGAACGGATAAGTGGACGATCGGCATGAGAAGATGCCGGGCCTGGATCCCCGGAAGAATTCCATCTCTCGATATCCTCACCCGGGAAAGGGTGCAACGCTGGCTGGCTATCAGTCGATAGGAAGCGAGATCCTCCTCCGGAGGCAGCGGCTTCTTCCCGAAGGACGGGTCTTGGTTGGTCGTCCTCCTAGCCCCAGGCAGCGCCAGGAGGGCAGGGATTGG